TTCTAAAATTACAGATGTTTTCACACAGCTTAAATCGAAATTCAAAAAAAAAATGTGTACTAATTGGAGGTGATTTTAATCTATGGCTGGACAGATCGCCTTCTAGTTATACAAGTCACCATTTTAATAACATTATTATGGAGTTTTGCCAGTCTAATGCCCTTAATGACATCTGGAGGGTGAAGCATCCCATGGAGTCTCAGTTTTCTTGCGTCAAACCTAATGGATCCTCTAAGTCACGGTTAGATTTTTGGCTTATCACTGAGGAACACTCTGAGTTTGCCTCTAACGTTGCCATCTCTGCTGCACCATTGACTGATCATTGCCTCAACATTTCATTAATTTGGACACCAACAACCAAACATACCTTTAGAAAAGACTACTGGAAGTTTAATGCAGAACTTTTAAAGGATAAAGTTTATTGTAATCAAATAAGAAATTTGATTATGGAGATTCAGAATGACCTCACTTTAACTTCTAATGGGAATAAATGGGAGTATTTTAAATTTAAAACAAGTGAAATTTCAATTAGATTTGGCAAACAAAAAAAACAAAGAACAGAAGAAAAAAGAGTTAAGTTTAATTCAAGAAATTAACAACTGTTGTAATACACAGATATTGTCTCAAGGAGATCTTGATAAATTACTCTCTCTTCAAGCTAATTTGGATAATTTGTATTTAATGAAAGCACAAGGTGCTTTTGCACGGTCTCGTGCAAAATGGTTGGAAGAAGGAGAGAAGAATACAGCATATTTTTGTCAGTTAGAAAAGAGGAGACAGAAAAACAATGCTGTGAATAGTTTAATTGTTAATGAAAAGGTAATTACAGACCCCAAATTAATATCCGAGGAAGTTTATTCATTTTATAGTGATATTTATTCTTCTTCATATTCTGTTAAAAATGGTCAAGAATTTCTAGAAAAGATAAAAGATTTTATTCCGCAGATTGATATTGAATTTAAAGAAAGCTGTGATGAAGACATGAGATTGGAAGAAATCGAGTCCGCTTTAAAAAAAAGGTAAAAAAAAAAGGCTTTAGGTAAATCCCCTGGTCAGGATGGTCTGACTACAAATTTTTATACATTTTTCTGGGAAGATTTAAAAGATCTGTTGTTTAAAGCTTTAAAGGAATGTTTTGATTTTAACTCTTTACTTCCAACTATGAAACAGGGATTGATCATTCTCATCCCAAAGGCAGGCAAAGACAAAAGAGTTATTGATAATCTGAGACCGATTACCCTACTCAATGTTGATTATAAAATTCTTACATCTGCTATTGCAAACAGACTAAAATTTAGGTTGAGTCAAGTTATAAGTGAAACGCAATCTGGCTTTATTAAAGGAAGGTTAATACACAACAATATTAGACTTGTTTTAGATTTAATTGATGCACATTTGATTAAGGATGATGGGTTTATTTTGTTTCTTGATTTCTATAAGGCATTCGATACTGTAGAGCATGCATTCATTTTACATGCACTTACTTCTTTTGGATTTGGTTATAAATTTGTTAAATTGATAGAGATGTTGTAGATATCAATAGTTCAGTATCGCTTCCAGGTGGGACGTCTAAGCGTTTTAACATAAACAGAGGTATTAGGCAAGGAGATCCGACAAGTCCGTATTTGTTTATTTTAATAGCTGAACTTTTGGCAATTTACATGAAAAATAGTAAAGATGTTAAGCCGTTAAATGTTTTGGGGAGTCAGCTGTTAATAAGTCAATTAGCAGACGACACTACTCTGTTTCTTAGGGATGCAGAGCAGATCCCAGCTGCCATTAATTTAGTGTCACATTTTTTCAAAGCTTCTGGTCTGAAGTTAAATTTAAAAAAGTGCGAATTGATGGCGGTGCATAATCGGACTGAATCTCATTTATTTAATATTCCATTAAAAAATTAGGTCAAATATTTAGGTATATTGTTATTACTAAAGACGCTAAAACAAGAGAAAAAACTAATTTGGCTGACAATATAACAAAATGTCAAAATATGTTAAATGTGTGGTTACAAAGAGATATTTCCATTTTTGGTAGAATCTTATTACAGAAAACTGAGGTACTTTCTAGGCTGATTTATCCTGCATATTCTTTGGCAATCTCCGACAGGTGGATAAAGGATATTAATCAAATTCAGTATAAATTTCTTTGGAAAAACAGACACCATTACATAAGAAAATCAGATGTAGTGAAGCCATTCAGTGAGGGAGGTTTGAATTTTATTGATTTTGATGTAATGAATAGCACTCTTAAATTGAGTTGGCTCCAAGCTTTCCTTAGGAATAAACAATCTGTTTGGTCTAGTTTTTCTTCAAAAATCTTTGATTTTTTGGGGGGCATTGATTTTCTTTTGAGGTGTAATTTTGAGCCATTAAAACTAAAGTGTAAATTGTCCTCTTTTCATAGTCAGGTATTATTATATTGGAAATTGATATACAAACACAATTTTTCCACATAGTTGTTCTTTGTGGAATAATAAGTTTATCCTTATTAATAGGAAATCAGTCTTTTTTCAGGACTGGATGGATAAAGGTGTCTGGTCCATTGTACACATTATGGATGGGGAAGGGAATTTCCTTAGTTATGAGAATTTTTGTGAAAGATATAATATTATTTGCACTCAGAAATTATATGTATCTTTATTAAAAGCTGTTCCTGGTGGTTTGGTTCAGTTGGTCAAAGGTGCATTGTGTTATTCACTTGTGATTCCGAGAATGAAAAGTTTAATCTCTGGTCTTGATTTTACAGAGGAAGGCTGTAAGATTAAAGTGTTAAGAACATTGGTAAATGTAGAGACTTTCCCTTGTAAAGTTAAAAAAAGACCTATTGTATTCGATTTCCCAAAAGACAAAGTGGGTCAAATTAGAACAAGATTTCTTACATTTCCTCTTTTTCCAAAGGTAAAAGAGGTTCAGTTTAAAATTATTAATGATATTTATCCTTGTAATGCTTTCCTAAGACACAGATTTAATATGGATTGTAATGAGTGCACCTTTTGTGAAGCGGATATAGAGTCGTTGGAACATTTATTTTTTTTATGCAAATTCTCAAAAGAAATTCTGGGATGACCTTTATAATTGGTTAAGATTGAAATATGAAATACCTGACTTTAATTTTAAAACTATAAAGTATTTGTCTTTGAGTTACGATCTTGAATTTTTGGTGAACAATATTGTGCTGTTGGCCAATTACTTCATACACAAATGCAGATTCTTTAAGAACCCTCCCACTTTCAGTCTCTTCTATAAAGATTTAATGATCTTCTTCAAAGCTTTAAGACTGGTGCATAACAAAAAAGCCCTTAAATTATTTAATCTTCTGAAGGTTTTGTTTGATGATTCCCCCCTTGTGTAATATTTAATTTATTTACTTGTTTATTTATGTGTTCTTACATGTTTTTGTTTTCTAATTTTATTTTTATTTATTTATTTATTTTTTTAGATGGTGTTCATGTTTTTTTTTCTGCTGCTATTTGGACTGTTTTGTAATCATCTAAGATTTGTATATTGATATTTGTTGGTATTTTGTATGTTTTTTTTGAGCAAAAAAAAAAAAAAAAAAAACTCTCGTATCGCTCGACTCGCGGTACTTTGATGGCATACATCACAGTCACGTGGAGTCAGCGCTGCATCAAGTCGGACAAAATTTCTAACCGGCATGCACTGTTTCAAGTTAGCCGCCGATCGGTCTGCGCAGAGCTGCATGAAGTCGAACAAGCCTATTATCTCGTATTTGAGTGCGCTTGCACGTGGGCTGGTTTACGAACCCTGGGGTAAACAAACGCTTCACTTTTGTATATCGTCTTCCCGGCCAATGTATAGGCAATCTTAACATACATTGATTCTCGCGGAAAAGTGAAAATTGCAGGTTATGACTCCTTTAAGCTTGAACAGCATGGATCTTAAAGGAGTAGTTCACTTTTGAAAAAACTTTTGCTTATAATTTACTCACCCCCATGTCATCCAAGATGTCCATGTCTTTCTTTCTTCAGTCAAAAAGAAATTAAGGTTTTTGATGAAAACATTCCAGGACGGTTCAAGGTCCAAAAGACACTTTCAGTGCAAAGTGCAAACTGTTCAAAGCAGTGGCGGTTCTACTTAGAATTACACCCTGGGCGAGACCCCCTTTGAGCATAGAACTATAAATGAATGAATCTTTTTTCAAGTCAATTCGTTCATTTCATTCATTGAATGAACAAATGACACGAAAAAAGATTCGTTCATTTTGACAAACGAGTTCAAACTGGAGAGTCACGAAGGTGCATCACAGAACAGAGCAAGGCGAGCATTTGAGCTTATAAAACTTAAACTTTGTTATTTATTTATTAAATGAGTGATCGTTTCACTTGATAAGACCCTTATTCATCGTCTGGAATCGTTTAAAGCCCTTTGAACAGTTTGTGCTGAAAGTGTCTTTTGGACCTTGAACCGTCTGGTTCCCATTGAAGTCCATTATATGGAGAAAATCCTGGAATGTTTTCATCAAAAACCTTAATTTCTTTTCGACTGAAGAAAGAAAGACATGGACATCTTGGATGACATGGGGGTGAGAAAATTATCAGCAAAAGTTTTTTTCAAAAGTGAACTTTCAGAAGCTTTTGTAAATTATTTTTCATAGTATTTCTTGGTAAAAACTGTACAGTTAACAGCACTGAAAAAAATATCAGATAACCTAAAATGTGCTTCATTTAATGACTTCTTAATTAACTGCTTGTTTTCACAATTATGATTTAATACCAATAAGTCAAATAAAATAGAAATGACATATTTAAGTTAAAAGTTACAACTGAATGTTGACACCATTGTGTTTCTACGTATGCTGTACAGGTATAGGTACAGGTCAGGTATAAAGAATATTTTTGCTCAGGTGGTAAAAATGTCCAAGCGATAGAAAAAAGTTTTGCTCAGCAAGAAAAACAATTAGAGGGAACATTGCACTAAAATGTTATAAATTGTTCAATACTTTACAGATTTATAATCATAGCATAAATGAAGAAGCCCAACAACTTTATACAGTTTAATTTTATACAATCAGTGTCACATGATCAATATGAAGCACATCTCAAATGCAAATAAACCATGCACTCTAAAAAATCATTCTGCCCTAAAGTATTACATTTGGACAAAACATCAACACCGTAAAACTCTGTAAAGCTGCTGGAAAAACATGATAGAAACAAATCGACACACTATATACAAATTTAAACTATTATGATTACAATGCATGTAAATGAGTTTAGAGTTGTTTGGTGTCTTTATTTCCATCCACAGCTCCAGGTAAAGATGCTGATTTTAATTTCTCCAACCTGCGCCGTAAAGCTGTAACATTAATATCAACCCAGGGCCTTAGAAATGGAGAGACAAGAGATAAATCATGAAATATGAACGAGCTGACCTGTAGGATAGGATCAACATTTAGTATTCAATGTTCAAGTGAATTTGTATAAATCATAAGAACACTTTTGTTTTACTGACTCGTGTCATATCTCGTTCTCATCACATTTTTTTATTGGTTCATTCTTAGTGTTAATCTCAGTCTTAACTTACGTTTGCGTCATGGAAAAGCCCTGGTCATTCAGAAGAATCTCCACTCTGTGGTCGCAGTCACCGTCACGGATAGTCCGACTGTTATCATATGTGCATTTATGAGACGGGTTATTACAAATGAACCTTCATAATCAGAAAGCACTACAGAGTCTTTAATAAACCTGATATTATTATTTGCTTTTAATTGACTTTAATCATTGTTATAACAATAGTTTGTCTGAGAAACAGAACAACATTTAAGTTATTGAATTGTTAATGAACTATGAGATCTAGGGTGGATGTAAAGAAAACAATTTATGAATAAAAATTCCCAAACTTTTGATCTGTTCCTTACAAAAATGTATAATGTGACTCCAGAAAACATGGACATGCCTCAAAAGTCGTTCTTTTCTGGTGTTTTTGTCTTTTTAAAGCTTGTAAGCTGAACTCTCTATGAAATTGCATGCAAAATCTATATAATGATAAACCAATACAAACCCGTTAAATGTCATCACACAACCTGGTCTTGTGTTTGAGCTCTTCAAGATCTCGATTGCATCCTTCTGTAATAAGCGAGCCTTTACCCTAGATGTGGAAACACATTATACAGATACAATTAATAATATTGATAATGTCATTCTTCATTTAAACTTTTCCATAACAGTGTAAACAGATGAAGGCCATGAACTACAGATGGGTGGATTCATTTGCTTTGTAAGATTATCTGATATAGCAACAGCATTGCAAAATTGCTAAACTGCCAAAATAAATAAATAAAATAATAATTATACTATATTGATATAATAACAATAAAGAAATACAGTAGTTCCTTTGTTTACTAAACCATTTTGTGTTTCTAAGGTTTTCAGTTCCTCAAAGGTGAGTGACTGTGTGATCAGTGTCATTAATTCATAGACTTTTATTGATTTAGTTCACTAAAAAATGTAACTCTGTCATTCATAACCTGTGTGTCTTTCTTTCTTCTGCAGAACACAGAAGAAGATATTTTTAATAATGCTGGTAATAAAACAGTTTTTATTTATTGTATTTCTTGTCCAAACAATGGAAGTCAATGGGATCTGAAAGTGTGTGTTAAACAAGTATTCGTTAAAATAACATCTTTTGCTCCTCAGAGGAAAACAGGTTTGGAAAAACATGAGGACGAGTAAATTATGACAGAATTCCCCTCTTTAGATGAACTATCCCTCTGAATATTAAATACACCGTTCTCATCAACAGACACATTCACATAGAAACAGGACAGAGGAGATTTCAGATGTTTCTCACTTGAGTTCGGTTAGACTGGGGCACTTCTGGCTCATCTGGAGGATCTGAACAGAAAACTCCTCAGTTAGAGAATCCACCCTCATTTCCATCTTCTCCAGGTTAGAGAAGGAATGAAGAACAGACAGGAATGCATTGAAATCCCTTTGGTGAATTATCTGATAAAGTCTGGTCCAGTCGATGTTGATTGATGAGAGTGGAAAGGTGAGACTGAATGATTCCATATCCGGATGGTCAAACAGATCAAACTCTATGCAGATACTATTAAAAAAAGAAATAAGAAACAATATTGTTGTTGTGTCTATAACTCAATCATTTATTGCTTAGAATATCGTTTTGTGATAAATGAAAAAAGATGATTAATTGGGTTTTTTTGTGCACCAGCCAATATTTGCAGTAGTCAAAAAAGATAAGTATACACCATATTTTTTTAACTGTTTTGGGAGACCAGTTTAGTTGCATTATTACTATTACAATTATAATCTATTATGTGTAGACCAAGGATGCCAGATAAACGGGAGAACAAGTTGATGATTTATTTGGTTATACAAAACATAGTAATTATATAATTATTTCTGGTTATCATGAAAAAAAACTATTTGATGAAAAGAAAAAATTCAATTCTTCTTCACCTGGACGGCTCTTTGTTGATTGACAGAAGTGAGATGTCTTGACGTGATTGGAGATTTCTTTTTTCTTGAACACTGTAAATCAAAGCACAGAAAAAATATACATGAACCAAAAATTAAACAAAAGCACATTAAAGGATGATAGCACGTGTGCATAAAACACAATCAAATGTATAATATATATTTTAAAACATTACCGCTGTGAGCTCAGGGTCTGTCCTCTCGTGAGAGCGTTGATCAGTTCAATGAGATCAGAGTCTGATGGATCTTTTATAGACACGCTTCAAAATCAAATCCAGAACATCACTGTACAGACTAATTAAGTTTAACTTGCAATAGCAAATTAGAGATTAAATATTAATTACATCCATCAAATATCTGTTTTAGACCTGCGCACTTACTTTGCTTTTTTAAACTTGTGAAGTTCAGGCAAAATCATAGACAGATCTTCCGATGTTAAAAACAAAGAGATGCCTTCAATTCTCTGACAGCACTGACAGCAGTACAGCAGGGCACAGACGTCTGCTCTACTGAGGAAATACTTATCTAGATCAATCCTTTTCCAGGATCCCATTACTTCTTTCACAAAGTCTTCTTCATGAAGTTCATAGAGACAGTGAAGAATAAATTCTCCTCCCAGATCCAAGAAACCATCTTTAACCTTTTCCAGAATCCATTCTTTCAGATGATCTTGTATTTCTGGACGAATTAACAGACCATGTTCTTCAAGTGTGGATCTCACATCCTTATTCAACAAACCAAATGCAAATTTCACCACATCTTCAAAATGTGGTTTTGAGTCCATTAAAAGTTTCCTCAGGGACTCTTCTTCATCTCTTCTTCTCTTCTTCTTCTTCTTCTTTTCTTCATCCAGAAGGACATAGTACAGAGCAGTGAAGAACTCCTGAAAGCTGAGATGCATGAAACTGAACATCGTCTCCTGGTGGATTCGTCTCTTAAACAGGAACTTGCACAAGAATGGATTTCCAGTCGGGTCTGAGATGGTTTCAATCACACTTTTCTCATCCAGCAGGACTTGCTGTTCCCGCATCCCTCTCTCTGCCAGCTGACCCAGACTCCTCAGCAGGGTCGGGACGGACTGACTCAAACCCTGGCAGTGATGCTCCAGAAGAGTGCACACAAAGTCCACGTAGATGGAGGTGGTTTCCAGTCCACTTGTCTTATCTGCTCCATCTTTGAATCGCTCCTGGATAGTTGTGCAGATGATCCAGCAGACGACAGGGATTGAGCAGGCAGTGATGAGGGTTTCATTTGCCTTCACATATGTATAAGCCTCCCTGAAACGTTCCTCATTTTGAAAAAACTTCTGGAAGTACTCCTCCACCCCCTTTTCTGAAAATCCCACAATCTCAGAGAAACGCTGAGGTCCGTTGAGCAGTTTACTGAGTGTGTCCGTAGCTGTAGATCTGGAGGAGACCAGGAGGAAAGACTTTAGCAGGATTCGACGCCTCAGCAGGGCACAAAGAGTGTCCACAGGTCGGGCTTTCTGAAGCAGATCAGTGTGTGCTGACGTGTCATTATTAATGTCCTGTGGGAGTTTCAGCTCATCAAATCCATCAATGACCACAAGCACCTTCTCTGGCGACTGCTGTAAAATCTGTGAGATCTCATGTGATGTTAAACTACAACTGCAGCTCAAGATCTCCACCAAACTCTTCTCGCCAGGAATGCGATTTATTTCTTTACACTTTAAGTGGAACACAATATCAAACCGCTCTTTGTAGAGGTCACCAGATGCCCAGTCCATCATGATCTTCTGCACAGTGAAAGATTTCCCATATCCAGAGTTTCCCTGCAGTATCACAGAACGGGGACTGATCCCGTCTTCATCTGGGTCAAACAGAGAGTTGAGATGGAGAGAGCCTCCACTGCTCCTGGAGCCGAGGACCTGCTGGAAGCGCTCTCCACTGGAGCGGATCTCTTCTTCTCGCTCTATTCGATCTCTATGTTTCTGAAGGATCAGAGGTTGTGTGAAACGCTCAGACAACAGCACATGTTCACCAGGCAGTGAGTTATACTCAGTCACAAACTGATACTCGCTGCAGATCCGCTTCTTATATTCGTCAATCACTGAGCTGATTTCTGTAGAAACAGTCCATGTTCAAAGTTAGTTTTTTTCTGATTATAATACAGTAAGAAATTCCAGAGCAGGCAAATCGACCCCTCTTCAGTTAGTAAACATGGTGATGTTTTTTATGGGCGGAGCTTAGGTGGAGGCAGAACGATCCCTCTGGTCACTTATCATAGATTTTGACTTCTTGCTCTCAGTAGTACTTAATAAGAAAGACATTTCCCATGCCCTGGAAATGTACATTTCTATTAATGAATTAATAACCAATATTGAGTATTCACTGCAGCGAGTAATTGGTTGTAATGTTCATGTAGCTACATCAAGTTAACCCAATTAACTGATCCAAATATTCATAACCAGTAATACTTTGGGCTTCATGTGCTCGTCTAAATGATCAAATGTACACAAAAATATGTTAAAACGATCAGCTTGGAGATTCACTTAAACAGTTTATGTCTAAAACGGACGTAGTTATGGAAATAGTTGGGAGAAAATATGGTGTATCAGTAGACTATTAGATCTGCACTCGTTCTTAAAGGGGCAGCAGTCTAATAAACATGCTGACGATTGCGCCATTACTGCGAATAAAACAACAAAAGGCAAAAAGAAAATCACTCACAGCTCTTGAATGAATAACTTTAGCTCTAATAAGTAAGATGAGGAGACTGAAGGAAAGAGAGAGAGAGAGTGATCGAGATGAGGAGAGAGCAGGTATTGACAAATAATCTACTGGACGCTGAAATTAGGTTATTTTTGCATGTCTTCAGGAGCTCTCTCTTAATTCTTGAACTCCCTTCACTGTTTTGATTAATCCTAATGTATACAATAAATACAGTTTAATGGAAAAGTAACTTTTCCTTGTATTTCTTTCAGGGCCAGTCAAAATATAGAAGGGGCCAGCAAAACTCTGATCTACTGGCCCTGAAGGCCAGTGGGGATTTTTTTTATGTTGAGCCCTGAATTAATGTATGTGATCGGATTTTGCCTTTCCAAATAAAAATATATAAAAAATAAAATAAAATAAAAAAAGTGGTTAGAAAAATAAAATCGGTATCGGCAGGTCAAACTCATTGAAAATCAGAACCGGCCTAGAAAATTGTAATCGGTGCATCTCTAGTATAAATATATAAGATCCTTCAGTATTATCAGCAGCTATTGCGCTTATCAGGAGCGAATTACCCTCCTCCATCTCCAGCTCCTCCTCTCATCAATCAGGGTTTGGCGTTCTGATTCCCCTTTGAGTCAGACTAAATTCTCAAATTATGTTGTACATTAAAATATTGACATTAATGATATCTGTATTCATTTATGTTGGTTTTGTTCTGTTTACCCTAAAGGGGGTTATTGTTGCTCTCCTGCTCTTATCATGCTAGGCTGCCCAGAACAGAACCAGACAGCTAATCTAAACTATATGCTAATTTACGATAGTGTCTGGTCCTGATAGAAATAAGTTAACAAGACTAAAATAAAGTTAAGACAAAATATTTAAGGTTTCTGCAAGAGCTTCTGCAATTTGTGCAATAATTGTAAAAGTACATATTTTAATTGTAGATATCTCAGTACATACTGTAGGTCTAGACACATGTGGTATAATAGTCTAAATGACTTACGTAAGTCTCTTAACAGAGATGGCTCGCGCTTTTCCAGGATACAATAAAAGGCAGATTTAACCTCGTCTCCTCCAGAGTTCAACACTTCCTTTAACTCTCTCATTTTCTCCTGGTTAGTTTCTGCTGCTCTGATCTTACAGTGCGGCTCCGGTTGCAGCATGCCAGCAGACTCCAGCTCATCCGTTATCGCCATCACATTCTGTACTCTCTGGACAAGTTTATCCCAGTGGCGGTCCACAAACCGAGCACCTGGTGGAGAATTGTAGGGGAAATTTTAATCTCACATATGTTACATTGATTATTGGGTCTTGTGTTGCAATCTGTGAAGAAGGTATTTTGTTTTCTTTATTGAGCGTGGAGTGAGGCACCAGAGAACCGGCCGGGTCAGAGGTCATCTTAGGCCTGGGGAGGCTAGAGGGGCAAATCAGCAGTAAATCTAAACTAGCATGTGGGTCCTTTTCATTGTGTAATTTTACAGAGGCCTGGCCAGCAGTAAATTACGGAAGCCCTGAACCGCAACCTAAAAAAAAAAAAAAAGTCAGTAAAAAAAAAAAAATCTGTAAAAAAAAAAAAATCTGTAAAAAAAAAAAAAAAAAAAAAAAAATCTAGCATTTCGAGATTAAAGTCGAAATGTTTCGAGATTAAAGTCGAAATGTTTCGAGATTAAAGTCGGAATGTTTCGAGATTAAAGTCGGAATGTTTCGAGATTAAAGTCGGAATGTTTCGAGATTAAAGTCGAAATGTTTCGAGATTAAAGTCGAAACATTGTGCAGTGCGCGTCCACTGGCTCAGAGCGCGCGCGCGTGTGTGTGTGAAGTCGAACTGCCATGGATAAACACAAAATAGTAGCTTTTTACTTTTATCTGGGCTTTCAACAAAATTCTACACACGTCACACGTGCTACTGAGGTGTTTTCGTGCTCGTCTAGTCAACACTATCTGGGTCGAGAACACAACAGTAACTGTTCGGTCTCCTCTTCCCCGTAAATACGCTCTGGATACATTTTAAGTGCATCATTCTGTATCCAATCATTTGGCTGGATCCTGTGATTTCCTAAGATTTAATAACCACTTATGGTTGAGGAGAGATTCTGTGATATGATTGTAAAGCACTTTGAGTGTAGGCATATATGAAAGCGCTATAAATGCCCTATTCATTCATTCATTCATTCATAAAGCTGGATTTCTCCATCCAGTCTGAAAAGTGTTTTCCGTGTTGGTTTTCCTATAGGCTAAAGTCTATTCCGGCGCAGTATATTTTATAACGTCCTATAATGGTAGCCTAATGCTGGTAGATTGGCACCTGTTGAATTTCCTTTGATGAAACAAAACACACACACACACACACATACATACACAGTGTGAAACTCGCTATCGCGTAGAAGCTGCGCGTGTGTGCTTTCCATTGTCTCACATTGCCGCACACACAGGCATTCATAATGGCCAATAGCGAGTTTCACACACTGTGTGTGTGTGTGTGTGTGTTTTGTTTCATCAAAGGAGACCGAAAAGCTACTATTTTGGGTTTATCCATGGCAGTTCAACTTCACACACACAAACACGCGCGCACGCTCTGAGCCAGTGGACGCGCACTGTTATGAATGCACAATGTTTCGACTTTAATCTCGAAACATTTCGACTTTAATCTCGAAACATTCCGACTTTAATCTCGAAACATTCCGACTTTAATCTCGAAACATTTCGACTTTAATCTCGAAACATTTCGACTTTAATCTCGAAACATTTCGACTTTAATCTCGAAATGCTAGATTTTTTTTTTTTTTTTTACAGATTTTTTTTTTTTACAGATTTTTTTTTTTTTTACAGATTTTTTTTTTTTTTTTACTGACTTTTTTTTTTTAGGTTGCGGTTCAGGGCTTCCGTAGTAAATAACCTTGGGGAGAGCACTATAAAGATTAGACCCCGGCCTGTGCTCTGGGCGTCATTTCACTTCACAGTATTTCCAATCTGTGTTAGTGACTGAGCCTTATTCTTGCAAGAACAATAAACCTCTTTTTCTTTTTATTAACTTGACTCTGAGTGTCTCTTATGCAGTGATGTCTGTTTATTGAATTTTTGCCTTAACAGTTGTACATTAAAATATTGACATAAATTATTGTATTCATTCATGTTGGTTCTGTTCTGTTTACCCTAAAGGGGGTTATTGTTGCTCTCCTGCTCTTATCATGCTAGGCTGCACAGAACAGAACCAGACAGCTAATCTAAACTATATGCTAATTATCAATCGTATTTGATGATAGTGGTCCTGAAAGAAATAAGTTAACAAGACTAAGGCTACGTTCACACTGCAGCCTGAAACGACCTAATTCCGATTTTTTTGTCCCTATGCGACCTGTATCTGATTTTTTCATGACAGTCTGAACGACACAGATCCGATCTTTTCAAATGCGAACCAGGCCACTTGGGTATGTGGTCCAAATCCGATATGCATCCGATCTTTTCAAATGCGACTTCAATCTGAACAGCCAGGTCACATGCATCCGACCCGCACGTCATTGCACGCACCTGTAACTAGCCAATACACGCTAACTCCAACGCGTTTCTGCACCGTTATGGGCCGCTGCAGACGTGTCTCTTCCCCAGTGTTGTGCCTGAACGTGTTCATATACTGTATTACTGCCTGATGAACATTACTGTGAACACGTTCATTCTGGTGTCTGTGAACGTGCGCTCTCTGTCAGTTTAACTTTGTACAGTAGGGTGCCAGATTTCTATAGAGCCGTCCAGGCGAAAACCCGGCTAAAACACAATGTATACATGCCTTAACCCTTGTGCATCCTTATGGACATTTTTGTCCTTTTCAGTTTTGTTTTTTTGATCACTTTGCCTGTGTTAAAGCTAACGGCAAAAAAATTGGCACAGGTGTGTATTTTTATTGGAATTTTACTATTTCACCGTCATTTTCTTAAAAAAATATTTTTTGCATTAGGTACAAAAAAATACTCCCTCTCAGCCCCTTTTGGACTAAAATGTCCCCATTGAAACCCATTAAAACTGCAATTTTTAATCCCCGGTTCAGTTAAAATTATGCAATCTTTGTTAAGAGGCTTTCATTCTGATGGCAAGGCTTCAAAATTTTATTTTTGACTATTTTTTATCAGATGGTGCCATTTTTTTTTAAGTTTGGCCTATAAAACAAATATCGCTTCATTCCTGTTTTCTGCTTCGGCATACTATAGAGCCAACTGGATAAATTATGCAACAATATTTGTGTGGGTGTGTTGGTATGGATGTTAGGGTGTGGTTAGTATGTGTGTTATAAAAAAATATGTGTGTGTGCGCATGTGTGTGTTTGTAATACTGAGAGAGAAAAACTGCAAATTCAAATCCAATCACTGTGAGCACCAGTGGGGTTTTGCTGGCACGCAATGGGGAAAATATGTTTCTACGCCCAAACAAACTGTTACCGAAAGCTCATTTTTTGAGATATCATCCTCAAATTTGGAACACAACCTATTTAGATTTATGGCTTTGATTTTATTGCAGTTTTGAGTTCAACCTGATTTTTAAAATATATATTTTATGTAAAATATGTTTATAAATAATTTTCATAAACTTATACCTATATAACCTTTGTTTTGATTTACTTATTATTATTTTTTTACTTCAGCAATAATCTGCAAAGGGTCTTCTTTAAAATGATACCAAACTTAAGTCTGTGCTCCAAAGCATCACATTATGACAGTTTTTTGACATGGACATTTTTGTCCTCTTTTTACCTATGTGTAACTTTTTTAAATTGATGCACGAGGGTTAAAATGTAGTGAAAAAACACCCAATCTGGCAACACCAGCCACCAGTGCCGCACCGCGGCTGCAGTGACAAAGCAAGGAGCGCCAAGGACACACACTATCAATTAAACGGGTTTTATGACAAGGTCGGTGAGGATCGGAAAAATCTTACATTATGTGCAAACTTTGCCCGTCGATAAAATAATTGTTGTCTGTGTTTGTATATGGGCTGTGGCAATAATAATATTAAAACAAAAGCTCGCAACATATGGAAAAAAAGAGCTATTCCGCAAACAAGTGACGTCGTTGACCGTTGATTACTCTTCTGCGCATGCGGGTCACTTCTGGGTCATTTCACGTTCACACCGGAGATCACAAAAGGTCGCATTTAATTGGAAATGTGAATGGCCTTGCAAAAAAAATCGAATTTTTTCAAAAAAATCGGAATTGAGCATTAAGCCCTGCAGTGTGAATGTAGCCTAAGACAAAATTAATTAAGGATTCTGCAAGAGCTTCTGCACTTTGTCCAATAACTGTAAAAGTACTGTACATATTTTAATAGTACATATCTTAGTACATACTCAAAGTCTGGACACATGTGGTATAATAGCCAAAATGACTTACCTAAGTCTCTAAGCAGAAGTGGCTCATGCTTTTCAAGGCTAGAATAAAAGGCAGATTTAACCTCGTTTCCTTTAGAGTTCAACACTTTGTAAAACTCTCTCATTTTCTCCTGGTTAGTTTTTTCTGCTCTGATCTTACAGTACGGCTCCGGTTGCAGCATGCCAGCGGACTCCAGCTCATGTGCTATCGCCATCACATTGTTTACTCTCTGGACAAGATCATGCCAGTGGCGGTCCACAAACCGAGCACCTGGTAGAGAGATAATAACATGAGAACTGCTCAAGGAAGAACGTGATTTCATTAGATTTAAGAGCGGTATATTATATAGTGTAGCAAGTACTTATTTGAGCCACTTCACTTTTAATCAGGGTAAAGCAGATTATCTTTCATTCGACTATCTCTGCTTTTACTGTGGTAACTACTTACGCGAGTCTTGGTCCATGGTGTCTCATAAGTGTCAATGACGTGTTGTAGAGAGCTGTCTTAAGTTGTCCTCTAGGAAATGAAACACAATTCAGATAGTGTGAGATGGTCGAAGAGAGCTTTTGTGACCCATGGTTAAAGATAACAATATTGGTATTCAGTAAATTAAGTGGCATGTACAAACATTAATCTAACATGCACAGCCTAAATTTGGCCTTTACTGAATATACTGTCACAAAACAAAATAAAATTTCATAATGTATAGTTCTGTCATGACATGGCATGATAATTAATAGAGATATAGAGATATGTCCAGTGCCGGCTCCAGTCCCTGACCAGAACCCAGCGGTTAAAACACTAACAAAAATAAACATAAGTCTGACTCAAATATATTAAATATCACAATTGTTGCCATCTATTTGCATTAGTTTATATCCAGCTGGTCACTTTTATGCATTTATTATAAATTTGCATATTTAAAGCTAGAGGTGTAAGATAGCAAACCGATATGTTCATACAGCCGACAGAAACAAACAAATCAGAAAACTATTCGATTTCAGTTCTTTTTCCATCATCACTTTAACACATTTAAATAATCATCAACTGTTATAAAATAGTAACATGATATTTAAGTGATTTCAATGCTCTGGCATTGTAGATATTTAAAGTTGGCCATCTTTAAGCATGACTGTTTGGATTTATATGAAATAACACTTAATAAAATCCCATATTACAATAATTAACCATAGTTAATACACTATGAATGAACTAACATGAATGAACAAGGTGCAATTGTATTGCTCAAATATTAATACATGCTGTAAAAATGTATATTGCATAATGCACATAGTTCATGTAAACTAGCAAATACATCCTTGTTAACAAATTGGACTTGCAAAGGGTTAAAGAAACACATTTGACAATATTTTAGGGGGGGGGGGGTGATTGCGATTTCACTTTTTTGATTTAAATTGTGTTGCTGTTGGTGCATGAACAATATCTGCAAAGTTGGAGCGCTGAAAGTTCGGTGTAAATGTGTTACACCCCTGAAAAAGGGGAGTAATAATCACGAGAGTGATAGAGTCAGCTTTCCTCACTGAAAACTTCAGTGTTATCTTTTTCTACAATAATACGTTTTACAGATTTACAGAAAATAGTAGCTTTATGGGGCTTATTCAAGTCACAACAGCATACTCTGTAATTCACTGGAACATTAACTCATTTTTCCAATATAACAGCTGTCAATCAAGCACAAAGTAGTTTTAGCTCAATAAACATTACTACATTTACCAAAAATATTAATAAAGTGCTTGAAACACATTATACAAATAACACAGCAAAACAGATAGCATCTAGATAAAATGGCGGCTGCTCTCATTACGTGGCTATTTTTCTCTGTAACCGAGCGAGGGCTCCGCTCACACACGCATATTTTAAACTCTGCAAACTTAACGCTCACTGACTTAAGTTACTCAAAATGTCACTAAAACACACCTTCAACACTCTTAACATGTTAAATCATCATTACATTTACTCAACTCAGATTTATAATCAACAACGCACCTGAAAAAGGGGAGAAATATCACGACTGTGATAGAATCAGCTTCTTCTTCTTCTTCGCTTGAAAAATGGCGGATTGCAACCTACTTTTAAGTGCATACCGCCACCTACTGTACTGGAGTGTGTAACATCATGCTATTTAATTGTTCTCATATTCTACCCATCAACCCTGTGGCTTTAATAAATTTAAAAAGTGCCATTCTGGTGCTTATAATACCTTTTCTCTCTCTCCTTCTGTTCCCAGTATCCCAATCAGATTCCATTCCCGTCCTGCTTCCTGAACCCCATCTTGAAACACCCGTCTTTCCAATTCATATAATATACAGTGTAATATGACATGTTCAGCATTTTCTTTAACCCCACATTTTTCACTATTCCTTTTCCCCATTAAAAACAAAGTGCTATTCAATCCTGTGTGGTCCACTCTCAGTCTTGATATTATAATTTCCTCCCGCCTAGTCTTTTCTTTATAATTTTTAATACTGAGAGATTTTTGTACTTTATAATATCCCCTTCCTTTTGTGTCTTCTTCCCACCATTTCTGCCATATTCTCATACCTTTCTCTCTTATCACTGCTTTCCCTTCTCCTTTTCCGAGTGGAATTGGGACTGTTATTTCCTTCTGTAATGCATCTTTTGCTAGTTTGTCTGCACTCTCATTTCCTTTCACTCCCTCGTGTGCTGGCACCCAACAAAAATGAACATCTATGCCACCCCGATGTAATCTTAGCAAACTGTGATTTAGTTCTAATAATAAGATTTATCTGGCAGATTCCATTGATTGCATACTTTTAATGACAGATAATGAGTCTGCACTGTTAGACCTTACCAGGTTTTTTTACAGTAAAATACTGGCAACAGGCCAAATTCTGACACCATCATACCATTTTCCATTAAAACAGTAATATACCGTAGAAAACAAAAGCCTACAGGAATATACTGTGAATTAATAATCGACACTCAGACTGTGTTCATAATCACATTCACACCCTATACCATCATTCACTATTCCCTACATTAGTTCACTAATATAGTCCACTTGAATGAAAAGAAGTGAGTGAATTGAGACACTGATGAACACCTGATAAGCAGAATCACTGAAGGACAGAGAAACAAGAACTGAAAAAGAGAAACACAAGATCTACAACTGACTTCCAGACACACAGAGTGTGAAAACAGTTTACAAACCAGTTTAACATTTTTTATTTCATACATGTACAAAAGTTCTTGTTGAGAATTAACAGAGATTTAATTAATAATAAAGTTTTTTTGTCACCATAATGGAGATCAGTGTTTGCTTTAGTAGGTCTCTTGTCCCTGGACTTGTTACAGTCATCTACATCTGACTGCTGTAACAGTGAGTTTTAAAACACATTTGTCATAGCAAGAAAAGTCAAGAGGAAGTTGATCTGGTGTTATTGGCTTTTGTGATGATGTCATGATCATTTTAGATTTGTCTGATTTTCAGATCTTTCCTGTGTATTCTCTTTGAATATATGAGTTTATAATATGAAACTTACATTAAATAAGGAGTACAAAATAAATCTGTGAATCTACAACATGAAATCAATATGTTGGTTAATCATGTCTTCTGAATAATATTGTAATCATATACGTAAAACATTAAAATAATATCATGCCTGTCTCAGACACACACAGACATCAAAAATTACAATATTCATCTCAATAATGGTAACATTCAAAAGTTTCATGCATGCTGGGTTCCAGGATAGTATAAAACTCCCAGCATGCATTGCTGCATGAATAAAAAAATATATACTGCCACCATTGTTGAGATTAATGTGCTAAATTTTGATATCTTTGTGGTTCTGCAAGAATATGTAGCTCTTTTTCTGTTTATGTATGATGTGTTAAAAAATGAGTCATAATTTATTGCTGTGTTTTCACAATGGTGGTAATGCAACACTTTTGGTTGAGGATTAAACTCTAAATGAGTGAGAATGAATTGTTTTACTAAATGAACAGACAATATGATGATTTACATAATTATTTTGACAAATCAAATCATTACTAAACTGTGTCTGCACAAGTGTGACTTGCACAAAACACAGCTCACAACTCAAAAAGAAAATCTCATGTTACAGCATCAGCAGACCAACTAAAGCAAACACTGATCTCTATAATGGTAACTTCAAACCAAACATTTTCAATTAAACATCTCAACATCTTCTATAGATATATGACAGAAATAAAGCCATACTGGTTAATAATAAGTGTAATAATGTGTAATGGCTGAAGTCAGTTGTAGTTCTTGTGTTTCTCTATTTTCTGTTCTTGTTGTTCCTCTTTCCTTCAGTGATTCTGCTTGTTAACAGCAGGTGTTCATCACTAATGCTCAACAATCACTTACATATTCCCTTAATTATCTCACTGCAACACTGCATCAATGTTACTTTTTACTTTTTTTAGTGTGGATTTTCCTGTGGAGTTGAAAGGGTTAACAGTGTAAGATAAAAAGACACTCCCACAAAATGTATTTTAACAGTAATAAACTGTAAGTTATAAAACAGGTTTATATACAGGTTTATAGTAGTTTACTGAAAAATCTTGTTTTTGGGGTCACCGTTGTGCTGAAGAGTAGAGCCTGAGCTTCAGTCCAGGAGAAGATCTACAAACATTGATGATATGCTGCATGTTGCTTTATTTAAGAGGCACTGTCTGTGTTAGTCGCAGAATCTGGTGGAAATCTCTTTAATTACAAAAGTTAATTTTTGTTGTTTCTAATTGAATAAGTTCACAATAATACCTTGCTCACATTATTAATGCATTATAGATTTAGTTGATTCTTTTAAGTTTGTTTCTGCAAGTTAAGTTAGTTAACTCGAGTTTTAGTCCATTTTTACAGTAAATAACTGGCAACACTGCAACCTGCTTGTTCATTCTGCTGATCATTGTTCAAAAGTTTGAGGTCTGGAAGATTTTTAAATCTATAATTCAGCAAGGATGATTTAAATAAAGTATTAATTTCTTTAAAAAAAATCTTAAAGGCCCAAAATCTTTAAACTGTAGAATATCTATGTTTGCCTGTAATGGCTCTGCCTTCACTGTAAGAAAAAACAAAAAACTGAAGAAAAACAGAAAAAAGGTACTAGTATAGTTCTTCCGGATTTTATCTGTTAATTTACAGACATTTCCTTTTATGCAATGCGTAAATCGAAATAGACCTCTGAAAAAATTATTAGGAAAATTGTATATGTGCCCTATTTTCACTTTATAAAACTTTTCTTATAGTTTAGTTTCCCCCCTCTCTGATTTATTCTTTCCTGTCCACTGGGTGGCGCTTGTCTCAATTTTTACATTCTGATTTTAGGAAATGTGTCATGTATTAGCTTGTATATTTGAAACGCATATATGCACTACAGTGGACAGACAACTAAATTACTAAAATTACTATTTCTACTAAAACAATAATATAGTACATTATAGATCAAAAGTTTAGATTCAGTAGGATTTAAAAACAAATATACCGCATTTCTGTGAAAGTCGATCATGAATCCATTCAAAATTGAAAAACTATTTAAACTGAAATTCCTTCAGCTGGTGTTTTATGAATGAGCTCCATTGTTTGGTAACACTTTACTTGAAGGGGTGCGTGCATAAGACTGACATAACAAATGTCATGAATATGAAGGAGGTTTTATGCATGTTTATGACAACTGTCATTAAGTGTCATTTGCTCAGTTGTGACATTTTATTGCCATTATAACATTGACATGTCTTTGTTATAACTTGACATTAGACAACATAAATTGACATAAATATGTCATTGCATGGCAGATTAATTATCAAACTTAAGAAACCACTTGGCTTTATGGGTTAACATAACATTAATCTGTCATGTGGTTGGCTTTGACATTGGCTGTCATGCGACCATTATAACGGTGTCATGAATTTATCATTAAAAAGTTATAATGGCCTCATGACAGCCAATGTCAAAACCAACCACCTGACAGTTTAATGTAATGTTAACCCATAAAGCTAAGTGCTTTCTTAAATTTGATAATTAATCTGCTATGTCATGTTTAAGACATATTTATGACAGGTTATGATGTAATGGTTTATGTCAAGTTGCCATAAAATGTCATAATTGAGTGAATGACACTTAATGACAGTTGTCATAAACATGCATAAAACGTTCATATTTATGGCATGTGTCATGTCAGTCTTATGCACACCCCTTCAAGTAAAGTGTTACCCATTGGGTATGTGTGTGTAAGCATGTGTGTTTGTGTAGGAGCGAAGCAAACCTTTGGGCTCCTCATCTTCACTGGGGGCCGGCTCTTTTGGAGGGTCAGGCATGCTACAGTCCGTCCCCCGGCAGGTTATGGTTGAGTAAGTCAAATCTGCACTAAATCTTAAGCATTCAAATGGTACTTACAATTTGTTCAGAAGACTTCTCTGTGGTCAGTTCGTGCTTAAGGTTTATTAACGACAACACTGGTAGACAATTCTTTTGCAATTAGTATAATAGTTATTTATTAATGTAATATCCCATAAATAAAAGTTCAAACTAAAACTAATAGCAAAGTTACAATATAAAGCAAAGTTTAAATCAAAGGTACAATCAGCTGGGTTTCTGGCGTCGAGAGATACTGCGCGATCAGTATCTGCTGGTCAGTCCTCTCTTCAGTCTTTTATACGCAGACAGTCCACAGCCAAAGTCAGACACTCTTCTGCTGTCTTCATTTGGAGAGCTGCCAAAGGTGTTTCCGTCGTAGCCTGCCCGCTCTCTTCTTGGCCCTTTTCCTCTTCATCCTTCTTTTTCTCTTTTTCTAAAATATACCTTACCTACAGCATTCCATTTTTCTTCAAAAGCAATTATTATCTAATACATAAATGCTCTCTACTCTAAGGCACTTAATACATTTTCATATCTTAACATACATATATTAGTAAAACATTTGTACTCTTTTTATATGGTTAAGTATACATGCATATTATCATAATAATTGGTGTTGCTTTCCATATACACTTTTCCAATACATTTTATGCAGCATTTCTATTTGGGTTACATAAAAAATACTACTCAAGCAAAACAA